GTATTGTATATCATGCTGTAAAACATTTTCCAATTCAAATCAAAATCTTTTTGTTCTCTTTTTCAACTTCTCAAAGCAAAATCTTAAGCCAAATAAATAAAAGAAAATGTTTTTGTTTGTTTTTTTTCGTAGAAACATATGAATGCACCAAGCACACAAAACATAAGAATTAAAACACAAACCATAAAATAAAATGCATGAGAACAAATACAAAAAAAAAACATGATGCGTGCATATATCATGATATCAATCAGTAGTAGCATATTAGCATGCACCAAATACCCTCAATCAGTGAGGGACACAAATATCAATCGCTGTTCGGATAGACTCAAACCGAAGACCATCCAATGGTTTAGTGAATAAATCGGATAATTGGTTCTCAGTAGAAATGCGTTCAAGAATCACAATTTGAGTTTCCACAAGTTCTCGAATGAAATGATGTCTAATGTCAATGTGTTTAGTTTGAGAGTGTTGAACAGGGTTTTTTGAAATATTGATAGCACTGATGTTGTCACCAAACACGATCATAGTACCTTGTTCAATCCCATAATCACACAACATTTGCTTCATCCAAAGCAATTGAGTGCAACAACTTCCTGCCACAATGTACTCGGCCTCAGCTGTGGACAATGAGATAGAATTATGTTTCTTACTCATCCAAGCAACAAGGTTATCACCAACATAAAAACAACCACCAGAGGTACTCTTTCTGTCATCATCATTACTAGCCCAATTAGTATCGGCCAACAAGATCAAGAGTAGAGTCCCTAGAGTATAGTATTCCAAAATCAACAGTTCCATTGACATATCTAATAATACGTCGTACAACACTCAGGTGTGATTCTTTAGGATCAACCTGAAAACATGCACAGACGCCAACACTAAATGCAATGTCAGGTCTACTAGCAGTGAGATAAAGTAGACTACCGATCATACTCCTATACAGTGTTTGATCGACACTCTCACCTTTGGGATCCAATCCTAATTTGATACTGGTGCTCATGGGAGTTCTAGTATGTTTCTTGCTATCTAACAAAAATCATTTTACAAGATTCTTGGCATATTTCGATTGA